TAATAATAATAATAATAATAATAATAATAATAATAATATGTATCTGGCATTTTAGGTGTGAATTAATCTGACTTTTACCAGCTATCGGTATTCTCAGGCCTGGGCCCTGTTTTTGTTTAATTATCCAACTCTGGTAATAAAGGAGACACGTGGCGAGCACGACCAATTCCCTTCATGCTGCTTTTCCCACATCATAATAATAATTAAGCAGACGTACTTCTGAAAATTCGCATTTCCAAAATACAGTCCTCTAATTTATTTTACTTCGTAATTCGTATATTTTCACTGCACTCAGTAACAATTATAGTGAACACACGACATTCCAAACGAGGAGATAGAAATGAAAGTATTTCAGAACGTGTCCTTTACGGATCTGTTGGTGTGTTGAGTGATTCGTACAAAGTAGAGAGATCAAGCGAATCATCTCACACAGATGAAAAATGCACTCTCGAGAAACACCGCGTAATACGCGCGCAGTCCCAAGAGCAACTCCATAAATCGCCACGCAGGAAAACACCCACCGCTCATTCCCATTTCCATGCACCCGAGTTGCCGTTAAAAACGACGCAGATGCGTTTCGCCCGCATTCACTTGTGTGACCTCCGGATCATCCTTCTTCTGTAAACGTTTTTCCGCGTGCTGCTTTAGCCCGCCGAACATGTGTTGCAATAAACATACGATACAGACAATATTTCCACACGAATCCCGGCAAAATACTACCCGCGCACGGCCTCGCCAACACAAACGGTCATGACCGTATACTGCATTTTTTATTGCGTGAGCTATGACGTTATGAATAAGGTATAAGGGGCGGGCGAGCGTGTCGGGCGGGGAAAAGGCCGAGAAGCAGGCATCCCACTATTTATTATGTATATTTGTATTTGCACGGAGCGCACGAAAGACAAAACGCAAATGACAAACGAACGCAGCAATTCAAAACGGCGCGCAAGTTCGCCCGGCCCCGCCCACTAGCCGCCCCTCTCCGCGCCACCTTCGGACCCTTCGGGGGCGGGGCCGGGGGCGGAGCGTGGAGGAGAGGGAGGTGATGGTAGAAGCCAGGGTGACTGCAATGGTGGTGCATGGAAAAAGAAGTGGCGTCGGTGGTAGTGGAGGTGTAAAGAAGGTTATGAAGCCTTCAGAAGAGTGGTGGCAATGGTGATGGCTATAATGGAGCTGTGGTCGGTAACGCGACTAGCGGGTGCGATAAAGATCATCATGATTGTTAAGTAATTCCGGGCTCGTCAACTACTACGGTCTTTAGTCTCGTAAATGTAGTGCAGGTTTTTTATCGCGACGTACGTAGTGTTCTGCCTCTGCTGAAAGGAGAGATCCGGCGCCGATTTGCGAGTTTTTCCCAACCAGGTATCTCCCACCAGTTGGGCACCGCCCTCAATCGGGGCAAGCTCTAATCTTCCGATTGGTCTCCCAGCGTGTGTGGTATGTATGTACTTGGCGCGACAGTCCGTGAACGGGCTCAGCCCTACCGGCGACGTCCCTGCCTCACGGCCATAGGTGAAGGGGGTAGGCGTTGTTAGCACGTAGAGATCCTCACGCCGTATTCTGGACTTCTCAAACTAAGAAATGAATTTTCTCATCTATACTTGCACATTACAAGGAAAACGCACACTATAATTTGATCTCGACCGATAATCGAACCCAGGGCAGAATAGTGGAAAGCGAGCACGCTGACCCAGAGCTAACCACGTCAGGCGGCGTGTGCGGGAGGGTAGTGCATTTGGGTTGTGTGCTAGGTGAGGAGGTAGGGTAGGGAAGAGGAAGGAAAGATCTCGCGCAATCCGTGGCCCATTGGTTACGATACTACTCCAGCATTCGCCTGGAGTTGATCGAAAAAAAACCCGCCGGAAACTACGATAATAGCAGCCGGTCGCTAGAGTTCTACAGCTGTTACGAGTCGAAAATCCTGCCACCCTCTAGACTCGAACACAAGGACCTCCCAGCCAGAAACACTCCAGCGAGATCAATTGATGCCCTGAGCTACCCAAGGCGGTGAACACCACCATTAGAGAGGTGGCACTGGGAGTAGTAGAAATCAACGCGGTAATACTGAAGGCAGTAAAGAAGAGCTAGCCGTGGCTGTGGCGGCAACGCATGCGGTGGAGGTGATGGTGTCGGCAGTCCCTCTCGCTCCGCCACGCCCCTGCACAACCGCTGCCATTGCCCCCGCCAGTCGTTACGCCAACCCACCTTCCGCCCCTGTCTGTACCCCGGCCACGCCTCCTCCCGCCGCTTAATCAAGCCCTACCGTCACCCTCCAGCCCTTGCCTCCCCGCCAAACACTCTACTTCCTCCCGTTCTGCCCCGTTCTCCCGCCCCCTCCCCCTCGCACGCCCCGCCCCCACCCCTTCACCAAACCCACCCAAACCTTAACGCGTCCCTTCCCTGCCCTTACCGTACCCTACCTCAGCCCCCTCCCGTCTCGGCCTCCCGTCCCCTCCCAACCCATTTCCATCTCCGTTCCGCTACCACCCTCCCTCCTTCCCGCCTCCGCCACCCTACACCCGTACCCCGTTTTACCAACCCATCACTCTGTCCGCCCATCATTTGTCGCGCCCTCTTCCGCCACCATTGTCCATTCCCTCCTGCTCGCCCCACCCTCGCCCCGTGCCCCGCACGGCTATGCGGTGCTCGCTCAGCCGAACGCCTTCTTGTCACCGCGATGGCACAAATCTGTCTCGCGCGGAGATAGCGCCACGGCTATAGACGCCCCGCGCGCGCATTCAGACGGTTTCGCGCCCCCGCGCTTCTCTCCCGGTCTCTCTCACTCTCTCTTCATTCTGCCTCTTGCTCCCTCATCCCACCAGGCCCGTTCGCCGGCGAGCTTCCGTGCTGCGCAGAATCTCTGGCGTCTGTCACGTCGCAGCTCCCCGCTGTTGTAACCCAGTTGAAACCCAGTGCTGATTGCTCGATTGCATTTAAAACCTTACAATCCCCACAATCCGTGTCTCTTTCGCCTCAGGCTTACCTTCTCGTCCTTACGTAATCACGCTTCCGCCTCCTTTCGTTATTACGTTTGCCTTAAAATACATACATGTCTTGACCACCATCTCTACTACTTTTTTTTTGGATTATTCGTTTCTTTTAAATTTCATTCATTGCCCCTTTACCATAATGTTAGATTTACTAGAGTCATTATTAATTATATGTTTAGTGTCGGTTAATCTTTGGTATCCCACTTGATAGTTCACTACACAATTTCTAATCGACGATGCTTCAATTTCATGGGTTCATTTCCAAGTGTACTAGCAGTCGCTTGCTGGGCATTTTCCTCCCCTTGCTGGCGCTTTCCTCTGCTCATCCCTTGTATTGCCAATAATATCTTTCATCCTGTCTATTCTGCCCCCTCACACTGACCGCTATCTTGTCCTGCTTTACCCCGCGTCTCTTTCTGGTTCATTCTACCGTCCGCCGCGGCCATCTCTCCAGCCGCTTGCACTGTCCCGCGAGCCATACCCACCGCTCAGGTGCCGCGTAATCTTCCTCCGTGGCGTACTGTCCCGAGGTTCAACCGCTTTCCGTTCAATCCTCGACGCCCCTCCCCTGCCCCATTCCCTCTCCCTCGCCCTCCCGCCCATGTCGCATCTGCCGCCGCTGGCCGCGCCGCTCCCCTTCCGCGCCGCCGCACTCGCAATCACGCAGCGCGTGCGGCTTTGATGAGGGCCGGCGGGCGCCCGCCGTCTTTTATGCCTATAAATGTTGAAAAGGCAAATGCGCAATCTGAGTTTGCGTGCGCCGGCCTCTCCGCTGCCCGTCCCTGCCTCGGCGAGGTGCCGTCCGCTGCCTACCCCGAACA